AACGTGCGAAACGCGGAAATTATAACACAAATAAATATTATACTAGTAAATACTTAATATTATTAAATTACTATAAAAATAATAACAATTAAAATAATTAGTTTAATTATTTGGATGTTTGATATTATTTATGTACATATTTAAAATGGGAGGTAGATCAAAATCCGTTATATTATTAACGCATTTATCACCATGTTCAATTTTACATTTTTTAATTTCAAATTTCTCAAACCAATCTAATTCTTTCCCTTTGTTGAAACTATGTAACACTCTTGTATTTAGATTTGAATTGAAATTGTGTTTTGTTTCTTTTAGATGGTCCTTAAATTCCGAAAATTTGCTGGAGTTAGTCATGTTTTTATTTCTCTACCGCTTTGTCCTATATATTTAATCATTAAAATTGAGTTGGTAAACCCCGTTTTTTGCCAAGTCGTCTACTTTGTCTTTAGGTTTTGAGAGGTTGTTTTTAAATGAACCCGTACTTCTAAAAGCTATTCTAAAACCTTCTTGTTTAAAAATTTTACTAACTTTTTCCGATAATTCACCAATGTATGGCAAACAAGGGAAACCTAATGATTCATTTGTGGTGGGGTGGCTGAGTCCTATTGTTGATTCGTTTAAAGTTAATTTTTTTATTATTTTAACTAGCCACCTATCAATAAATATTTCTTGATATCCGTTGTTTTTTTGGTAAGGTTTTAATAGTTTTTAATTCTTTTTTATAGTTATCAGGTGTCAGCGGAAGTTTTAATATCCGGTCTATGAGCCAAATGAAACCAGCAGCCTTTTGGGACCATGGGTGGGAAGAATCCGCTGGTATCATAGTGTCTGTAGTTGTGTGTTTTCTATATACGTCTATTTGTATTAGGTTGTTTATTATGGACAGTTTTAGGTCTAAAAAGTTCAAACAGCCATCTTTGCCAATTTCCAATGTAAAATTTATATTACGGTGTAGAGAATTAATTAGCTGGAGGAATTCTTTGAGAGCCTCTAATGTTCCCGACCATATGCATAGAATATCGTCTACATAGCGTTTCCAGAAATGAACAGATTTAATTAATTTGTTCTTTGATTTGAAAAGATTTTTTTCGAAATTATCCATGAATATTTCAGCACAAAGTGGGGATAATGGAGACCCCATTGGTAACCCTTTCATTTCGTAAAATTTATAATTGAATTTACAATAATTAGATAGTAGACATATATTTAAGATGTCTATTATATCATTTTTTACCAACTCGTTAATAGAATTCTCGGTAAGTTTTTGCTTTATGAGTTTAGTACATTCTTCAACGGGGATATTTGTGAATAAATTAGTATTCACTTTGAGCGATTAAAAATACTTTAATTGAATATAAAATCTTCTAGCATTGTATAAATTCACATTTTTTTCCACATCCCACATGTATTTGTAAAATTTAAACAATGTTTATAAATCCCAGGCCCTGAAGATGATCTCAATAAAGATCGAAACGTTGACACGATGAAGAAAATGTTTTTCTAAACCCTACGTCACACCAGACCGCATCTCATGATCTCCGAATAATCTTCATGATAATTTGTGTAATAATATTTTGAAAAAAAAAACACGGTTTTATTGTAAATAAATCAACAAAATGTAATCCAGATGCTCTGGAGATGTAAATACTAACAATTGTTTTAACCAATGTTAAGTATACGTGAATAATGGAATTAGTGATATAAAATTCTAATAATTGTATTTGAGACGTTAAAGAATATTGATGTAAATTCTAATTGATTTAGACCTTCATGGAAGCTCTAACTTGAGGAGGGAGCAGTTTCGTTATTTTCAATTATTATTATTTTCAAATCGTGGTAAAGTTACACTTTCCCTCGGGTATAAGACACGTGTAGTCAATATTCGTAAAAACTATGTAAAGCAGCATTAAACCGCATTTTCTCCTTTTACCGATCAGTCTCGTTATAAGTAGATATCTAATTATTATTCATTCTCTTTTCATACATAGAAGTAGAACGTCTCAGCTGTTGTATTCAGTTAGTTAAATAAAAGGTTTTCTTTTTAAAAGACTTCCGATAATTTGCTTCAGTTAATTTATATATATATATATATATATATATATATATATATAAGGTCGAGTTATAAGTAGTTTTTGCAACTGTATGTGCCTCCTAGTGATTCAAGGGATTGAAGTAATCCGGGTGGTTCTGTAATTTCTACATGGAAATCTTTCTGCATAAACTCTTCCACGGAACCGCTGGCAGTATGAGACGTGAATATATAATTACACACAGTTTGTGGACGCATGTAGAATAAAGTTTTCAATTTAGTTTTAATATTCAACAGCGTTTAAACATGTCTGCTATAGCCTCGGTTTTCTATGATGGCCTATTGTCAGATTTCATAGAAGGAATTGAAACAATGTGATTTAAACGGGCCTAGAAAAATGTTCGTGTTATAGAAAGAGCAAACCTAAATACAAATAAGTACTCTTTAACATATTACAATAGTTCAAGATCCAGATTTTTTATTATATTTTTATTTTAACTGTTATTTTTTCATTTCTTTAATGGTTATAGATTAAAAAAAAGCATAATTTTAAATTTAACTTTACCTTTTCAAACGGAATGTTATTTGATCAATCAAAATCAAAAGAAAATTCAAATCAAATGCGGCTTAAAACAAAGTTCTTTTTGACTACTTTAGTTAATCCATCTCGGAGAAATATATTCTCCACCTGGTGGTTCGTTGAACAGTTTTATGCAAATACCTGTATATTTTCGTTTAAATTCCACATGATTAGTTTCATAATTAATTTTATTAGCAATTCTTTAAGAATTTTATTTATATTAAAAAGCCGTTTAAGAAAAAATATATCTTTTCAAAAATTGGATCATAAATTAATAAAACAATATATGCAAATACATTATTATAAAACTGTGATACCCTGTAAAGTTAATTAACTGTTTCGCATAAATTTTTAATTTGCTTCAAATTATGTTTTTTAAACAATTTCAACGTAGTGAATATTGTTAATAATGTCAATATTAAGTTCAAATGTGATGGATAATTAATGTTCCAATCGATTATTAGCCAACTAATAACTATTAGCTATTAGCTAGAAAAAATAAAAAAAATCTATATTTCTAGAAACAAACACAACAATAAATTTTTTATAATATTCTTTTAGAACCAGTACAAAAACATAGTGAAATATAGAAGTTTTTATAAGTGATAACTTTTTTAAAATTTAATGTGATAACCTAATTAAATAGAAATACAACATAACGAAATTAAAAATAAATTAAGAAAGTAATTTTTCATAGATGCTTTCAACAGTTGACATCAAACGCTTGAATAAACTTTTTATTTCTCTTTTTTAAACCGATAAAATGAATTTTTCATATTTAATATATTTTTATCCATCTTCTATTTATTTCGTTGACAAATGTGGTTGGTGTTTTCGTCATTTATTAAATTACTTTTATTAACGATCGAATGAAATATACAACATATAAATTAAAACAAAATTGAAAATATTAGCTAAAAAATTGGAAAAGAACGCGACAGGCATCAAAGATCAAAATAAACTTTTTGTTAGAGTTTTTATATCCAATAAGTACATTTTTCTGAGATTGTTTCAATTTCAAGAGATTGTTTTAATTTCAAAGTTATTGCTCTTGTCGATTGAATATCAAATTTGTGCACAATTAGATCTGATCATAACTATCAAACGAGACATAACTCGGCAAAAAATTTAAAATATTAACTAGAAGTTTAATTAAATAAACGTTCTGTCGATTTTTGTTAGCACCAATAAATAGCAAGAATAAATTTGTAAGATAAATTTTTTAGAACAGATAAAAGAAAAATATTTAAATCTGAAAATTTATCCAATACTAGGTACAACGTGTTTTAAATTTAATGTAGCGATATAATCAAATATTAATACTAATAATACATCACATAACAACCCAAAATGCGAAATATTATTTTGAAAAATATAAAAAGTTATTTCCCATCAAGCCTTTCTGCAAGTTTTTTTAACAAGTAAAATGAAAATGGTTAAATTTAAGATATATTTCTATAATTTTTATTCAATTCATTATCAACATTTTAATATTTTTAATGTGTTCTTTCATTCACAAACGAATTCGTATTAATGTTTTAATTAAAAATTGATACAACACAACTCAAAATTGAAAATACTAGCTATAAAAATATAAAAAAACAACGGTCCTCCCGATTCTATCTCTGGCAGACAACAAGGCTAAAATAAACACTTTGTTACATTTTGTTTAGATCCAATAAATACATTTTTTATTAATAATCTAGTATTCTTTTAGCAATTTTAACGAAAACAATTTTTTTCTGATTTAATTCATTACGATGTGTGCACTATCATTAGATTTTTTATTTATCCGATGTTTTTATGAATTATCACTTTATTTATGTTCATAATGCTATCTACTACTTGGCCTCGCGCAGATTATTACACAATCGTTTAATTAAAAACACAATAAAATAAAATTTTCATAAAAAATCTGATTTTTAGATATTTAATTAGTTAGAGATATGAAATCTTGCTATTGGAATAAATGATCGTATACAAAAATTAAATCAAACTTGATCTGACTTTTCTATTAAAAAAAATGCTATATCATTAGTGTTGTTTACCAAAAAAATACATGTGTTATTTAATAAACTATGGTTTAAAATTCTTGAACTATTGGGTTGTCCGGAAAATAATGCAGGATTTTAAGTTTTCATTAAAAAAAATCTATATAAAATATTCTGTTTACGTTTACAGGATTACTCNTGGGAAATTATTTTGATTAAAGAACATTGCTTTAAAGTAACTAGTTTCTTTTTTTTTGTTTAATACCAAAATCCTGCATTATTTTCCGGACAACCCAATATTTGGTATTTCAATTTGAGAATTTTGTTGTTATGGAGTGGTGGATGAATGTGTCAAATACTGGAGAAAGGAGAAATTTATGAAATTGGAATTAAAATTTACCTTGCGTAATAGCTCCAGAGGCAGCGTTGAAGATAACGATGAGAAGAAGATGCTGCTTTGCAATCATTTCCACTGATCCCATTATTGCACGACACTGTTGAGGCATTGGGCCTAACTTACATCATGGTCGGATTGCGTCCGACCCACTTTTCTTCACTGGAAAATTGTCAGTCCCCCTTTTATCACTGGATTTCTAAAGCACACCGCTTTTCCCGAAGAAGCCTATTTTATTACCGCATGTTCACGAGGGGGTGAAAGCGAAGGGGTTCTTGCCTGCTGGCTGGCCTTACACTGACTGTTCATTCGCACCCCCCGCCCCGTAACTTCAAGTGAGGACCGCTGGAAGCGCCCCGGCACTCTGATTAGCTAATAAAAAACAGAATCGGTATCTTCAATTCTCTTCGACAGAAAAATCTTTGAAAAATTCACCAAAAAAGGAAAATGATATTCGCCAATTTAACATGGACAGATTCTGCTAGAACTTCCACCCCCTCAGATTTAAAGATGGGGAGAAAACGACATCAATATTTTCTCGATGCCTTTAAATCTTTTAAACATAAATAACACACTTTACATAAATATGATTCGATCTTATTATCTTATAAGAAAGTGCTACTTCAAAGAAACAATAATAAATTTTCAGTTTGTAATAAGAAGATAGCCCACTTAAACAATTTTGTGCAAAATAAACTAATTCAACAGAAACTAACTACGAAAATAAACACAACGTTTTTATTTGAATGGCAGATAAATATGATTTTAGCTAACAAAATGTCATACATCAGTAAAAATGCCTGCCTTATTATTTTGCCAAAGAGTTAAACTTTTGTTTTTAATTACTGTTTGAATCATAAATAACTCGATTTAATAAAGTTTAAATAGGACTCGTTAATTACCGGCCAATAAAGTATAATTATTTATAAAAAATAGGTAATATTAAAACAAAACATGAAGGTTCATTCTAAACAAGGCGAAATACAATATTATAAACAACACTGGGTTATTTAAGTTGTTTTTCTATTGTGAAAGATTGAACAATAATAAAACAACGTTCAAATAAACATCTGTTGAAGGAAATATGATTTAATAAATGAAAATTTGTAGTTAATTGAGAATAGCATTGTTTGATCTCGAACACTACAAATTAAATCTCTTATTTCATTATTCTTCAAACTTTAAAGTTTTATTATTATAAAGTGTTAAAATGATGTTGTATTTGTTACCATGGTAAATTATTAATAATAGTTCCGATTCCTGATGTAGGGTGTATATATCCGACATATCCTACCAGGGTAAAAATCACTTTAATGACCTAAAGCAACCAGTTTTTCCATGTTATTGGAGAAAATATATTCCTTATATTTTTCTGTACCATGAGCAATTTACTTACGATCAATTTAAATGATAATTAAATAAATAGATTCTTGACGGAAGAAGTTGGATAACCCAACGTATTATTCCATTTATGTTTAGTAGTCTAATTGATAAAATTACTTTTCAATTAATTATTCTTTTTATTAACTTTTGGCTCAATACGCGTGGTTCAAGAGCAGCGGCGTATTGAGCCGAAGGTCGTGGGTTCGAATCCCGCTCGTCATACTAACTTTTTCATCTCGACCAAGACCTTACACGAAAAGAATAATTAATTGAATATCGTATTATGTTCAAAATAGTTTTTTGCAAATACACCTAAGAATTCAGTGTCAAAAACCTTTACAAAAACGTTCGTTGATGAGTGACTTGTTATTTCAAATATTAAGCCACTATACTTATTTCACTATCTTGGAAGGTTAAATCAATATTTTCTGGCTCATGAGAAACAAGGCAAAAATAACAGTTTAATTGTTTAATTTTTTTTAACGCACCTACAAAAAAATTAATGGTGGACAGTGTTTAGACAACCTGTATTTACATTATTGAAGAATGAGGGTTCAAATATAATTTAACTACGAACTAAATATATATTGGATAAGATCAAAGATGATCCGATTATCGTCTATAGATTATTGAATAATCATTACTGAATGATATTCATCAATGATACATTCCGCGAACGGTCGACAAAGGAGCTGAGTGTTTTCTTTCGAATTGGCTTCATCGTTGAATTTTAATTAAAAATTACCGAAATATGACAATATTCATATCGGAAAGGTTCGAACATGGGCCCAGATAGAAACATATGCGGCAGGTAGTTAAAAAATCACTTTAATTTAAATATAATTTAAATTATTGGTAATTTTCCTCATAAACACTGTTTTTGCTTTTGTAACTATTATTACCGTTTCATTGCAATAAGAAAATCTTGTATATTGTGCGAAATTTCAGTAAACGAGGTGAGTTCAGTTAGGTATCAACAAAGAGACAAATTAATGAAATTAGTAATTGAAAAAAAAAAAATAGAGAATCATGTACAACATAATATATTTTTGTATTCGCGTTTGTTATTTACATTTAATGTATTTAAAACAGTCATTTAGAATTATACATATAACTATTCGTGTCGATCTCTATGTTTACTACATCTCAATTTTCTCTATATTTACCATCCCAGCGAATTTCTGACGAAGAACTGAGTTCGAAACTTCAGAGATAGTCTTCTTCTTGGGTATCATGTGGGTTCTCATCCAAAATTAATGCACGTCACTTCAACATCCCTAAGTTAGTAAAATGAAATAGTTGGCCATCTAGTATGTTTTTGCCCCTATTTGGTGTCGCAGGGATTTCATCCTTTAGCACTTAATCATTGTGCTTTTTCGATTTTTATATTGCAAAGAATTCTTTTCATGGCTGTGGCATCAAGAACGGTTTTCCCAGGTATCATAACCTTTTCCTAGCTATAGAGAAGCAGCTGCATAAGATATATTCTATTCTCTCTCGCTCTCTCTCTCTCTCTCTCTCTCTCTCTCTCTCTCTCTCTCTCTCTCTGACTCCCTCGTGTTCTTCTTTTCGTCCCCATATCTTTACCTCACTTTATTTACTTTATATATTTTATGTATTTTCTTTCAGTCTCCCCCTCAACCAAAATGATTTTCTTATCTGTTTGGTAATTTTAGAACCTTGTCACCTTGTCATTGAAATACCTTCGTAAAATATATACAGGGACTCACATATTTGTTCACATCAGTAAACAATTTTCTATTAGCTCTAGTTTGCAAATCTCGGATTTTTAATCCAGAAAACAGCAATAGGATTGAGTTCGTTGAACTGTTGGTAAACAAACATTCACCCTAATAATTTTTATTTATGTTTATACCTATGAATTGAGCCAGTTTATTACGAGTCTTTATGTGAACAGTTTTGTGACTCGGGTTACTTCATTGCAAATTTCGCAAAAACCATTCAATAATTCGTCTCAAATTTATTATCAGGTATCATCAATTTAGTTATTTTTCTTACATATTGAAAATATTTCCTTTCCTTAATGGTTATGATCTATTCCGTTTAAATACAGTATGAAGCCATTTTCAACATTTTTGAAAGCTCCAATAATAAAAACTCTACAAGAAGGACTTCCTTATCGTGAAATTTCAAAAAAATATAAATTGTTATTATTGGGGTAATAACAAAACCTGAAAGATCTTCCGGAATTTACGACAGTTGTTTTAAAAATAACAGGAGTGGTCATAAAACAAAATTTTCCGAGGCCAAAAGGCGTTGTATGTACGCGCTCCGTTCGATCAGGACAGGTTGACAATGCTGTCCAAATTCAGTGTAGGCCGCGTGATAATGACAATATGGATGTCAGTGCTGAAACAAACAGAGATGTTCGCTGAGGCTGGATTAAGAGCGACGGGAAGTGAAGAAACCATTGCTGACCAAAGAGTGGCTTGCTGATCGTGGTTTTAATGTCATGGAATGGCCCTCATAGTCACCTAACCTTAATCCAATTGAGCACTTGTGGGGAAAACTAAAAAATCTTTAGCCGATGCTGCAGGAGACGCTTCAAACTTCGATCAACTTTGGGAAAAACACAAGTTGAATGGGACCTAATTGATCCAGAACAGTACAGAAATCGCGTGAGAAGTATGACCAGAAGGACTGATGCAGTTTTGAAAGCCAAAGGAGGACATACAAAATATTAAAGAACTTTCTATGACACAATCATATTATCGTTCGCACATGGTAATTTCTTTTCTATTATTTTAATAATCATGATAAAGGAACAATTTAATTTTTTGGGTGTTTTTTGTGTTCAGATAAATAAAATTATTTAAAAAAAACTACATTTATTTGATGTCCGATAATAGTTTTGTAAACTAAATAATGATATAACCCAATTTTCTTCAGCTGTGAACGAATCTGGGAGTCACTGTATATCAAAAACACGTTTGTGACTGAAAAACACGATATGACAAAATAGTATATATTTAATTTTCATCTTAATTTAAATCTCCTTCAAATTGAGTTAAACATACATCAAGGTTTTTGTTTTACACTTAAAATGTAACTACTTAATTACTCTTATATAAAAGTGTATTTTAAAATGAATATAGTCGATAATAACTTTGCCACAATGGTTTCTCATGTAACAAAAAGTAATAAATTAAATTTGTTTATTTGAGAGGGCAATTATTCTCTTTCCGGAATTTATTCACTACAAATTGTTAACAAAATTTTATTTTATGTAATTCCGCACATACACAATTCCGGAACAATTTAAATTTAATTGGTTTAATACACTTATAAACGAATTAATATATACGCTGTATTTCTTTTAATTGCATCGAACTTTAATCAATTTCAAGAAAAGTTAGATATATTTTCAGAATTTAAATAATTATTTAAAAAAATACGTTTTGTTAGAGTAAAATTACCGAATTTTAATAGAGCTTGCATATTTCTGTTATCTACATTGGGCATAAAATCCTTAGTGCATAATGATTACATCTTACATTTTAAACAATGTTGAATCATGCTTACTTAAATATTATTTATCTACTCATTGTTTATATAAATCTGCTCAGCGAATAAAAAAGAGCGCATTAACATCAAACATAGTAAGTTACTTACTAATTATAATAAATAAATAATTTACACTGCGAGATTGTGCAGTGCAAAATTAAAACATATATAAAATTAGTTATTAAGCAAATATTATAATGTTATTACCCATGTAGACGCACCTTGGTCACAAAGCACCGGTGTAATTTCAAATACCCTGATGGCCCGACAATTCTTTTAACTGTACATACTTTGTGAAAGGGTTTGCTTTTGTATTAATGTATTTATTAGTGTAGTCGTTTGAGTATATGTTGTATAGATGGATTTGTGGCGGAATAAAAGCACTCCAAAGACCAAGCAACCAATCTT